TTCCAAGGGGACCAGTGACCTTTAATTACCATACCTGCCAGCCCCTCCCTAGTCTTCAGCTGCTCTGACAATAATGATTCCCTCTCATCTCCCTCTTGAAAAGGTCTCCATTGTGGGGTTCCCCTTTTCTTCCTTTTCAGTGACCCCTTCTTGGCTGGTTCTTTCCTTTTCCCTTTTCCTCAGTAGAGTGCAGAGGTGAAGAACTCAGATTCTAAAGTCGGACCAGCTACTAACTGTGATCTAGGGTACACACTTCACCCCTGGGTCCTACTTATAAAAGAGATAGTAAAAGTACCTACACCCAACTCACAGGACTGTTGTGAGAACTAAATGAAATAACATCAGGTACTGGGCCCTGTGCCTGGCAGGGAGCAAGCACTCAATGTTTGTTATTAGGCACACTATTTAAGAACATACTCACTGGAAGAGAAGACTGGAAAGAAATACAGCAATGATAGAGTGGTTGTATTCGAGTGGCAAAATTATGGGTGACATTTTTTCATTTTCTTTAATCCCCCAGTTTTCAAAAATGAGGCTGTAAGACCATGCAGATCTATCAGCAGAGAGGAAGATGAGAGGAGAAAAGAAAGGAGAGACAGGGAAAATGCACCAAAGAGTTCATGATTATAAGATACCCAAAGGTCGGAAAAGAAAAACAAAAGGGTGGAAAGCAACAAAAACTACTCCCCATCCCTAATTCTTCCTCTGTGCTTGGAGTCCCACTTCCCAAAAAGGAATAAATTGGGAAGGATGGCTCTGGTCTCCTGGAGAAACAACAATCATAAAGTCTAAAGTATACACGATAGTCAAACCACACAACCCATGTGGGAGAAAAACATTATTCCAATCAGAGAGACATGCAAAACACAGAAGCACTCTGCAGTGCAAGGCACAGCTAAAGCAAGCACATTTGTATAAGTCCTTGCCTTTCATTGAAAGTCTTTGAAACAAGACCTTTGATACCAGAGCTGCTTGACGTGGTGGTGTCATAGGGTGTTTTCCTAACAACTATACCCTCTCCCCGTCAGATGTATTCCTTGGCTAACCATGCTGGGGAAACCTCTCTGACTGCTGGGCCATGGGACATGAGAGGATATATGCTGGAGCTCCTGGGAATAGGTTTCCTCCTTTGTAAAGGACATACCTGAGAAGAAATTCTCCTTCTTGCTTTTGGATATAATGGAAGGAGGGAAGATACGATGATTAAGACTAGCAATGGTAGCTGTCTTGGTACAATGGGGAGTTGGGCTTGAGGATGAGAAGAAAGAGAGAAGGAACCTGAGTCCTTAGTAATGATTAACTAACCAGGAACTTGCTACTCCTGGGCTTCTTATGTGGCATAATAAACATCCTTATTGCTTAAACCACTATTAGTTGGGGATTTTGATACTTTTGGGCAAAAGCATCTTAAATTATTCACATAGCATTAGGTGAGCTGACGCTAAAAGAGGGATATCTAAGTGGAAACACCTTTAGAGCTAGAAATCAGAAATGGTACTGCTGCAGCTCTCTCTTACTTAGAAAGGCCAATCCAAAAGAAAGTTAAGGGCCGGTCCCATGGCTTAGCAGTTAAGTGCCTGCGCTCCGCTGCTGGCAGCCCGGGTTCGGATCCCGGGCACGCACTGACGTACGGCTTGTCCGGCCATGCTGAGGCCGCGTCCCACATACAGCAACTAGAAGGATGTGCAGCTATGACATACAACTATCTACTGGGGCTTTGGGGGGGAAAAATAAATAAATAAAATCTTTAAAAAAAAAAAACAAAAGAAAGTTAAAAGGTTAATCAACTTTCTCTTCCAGCTTTTAGGTCTTTTTCTTTCCCTAAAGTGAGAAGAGACTGAAATGCTTAGCTTTGCCACCTGATTAACATTCCTAATGTATTTGGCCAAGTTTTCCAAGTTGAATCCTCACTATAAATTTGTATGAATTAAGTAAATATTTTACTCAGAGGATATTTTCTTCACCTACCTCCTAAAGTACAGAAGAATCAGAATAGAAATTTCATATAAAAATATGTATTAAATGAAAACAGTTATGTGTCACTATAATGTGTTGCTATAGCAACATTTAAAAATATTTTAGGGGCCGGCCCCGTGGCCTAGAGGTTAAATTGGGCGCACTCCACTTTAGCGGCCTGGGATTCTGTTCCTGGGCATGGACATATGCCACTCGTTGGCAGCCATGTTGTGGCAGCGACCCACATACAAAATAGAGGAAGATTGGCACAGATGTTAGCTCAGGGCGAATCTTCCTCAGCAAAAAAAAAAAAAAAAAAAAAAAAAATTATTTCAACATTAAAATGAAAACTACTCTTGTAATCAAAGTTTTAGAAACGATAATTTTTCAGCATCCTTTTCTCTTCCTCCCTGGGCAAAACCCCCCACCCCCCCGCCAAAGCCCCAGCAGATAGCCGCATGTCATAGCTGCACATCCCTCTAGTTGCTGTATGTGGGACGCGGCCTCAGCATGGCCGGAGAAGCCGTGTGTCGGTGCGCGCCTGGGATTCGAACCCGGGCTGCCAGCATCGGAGCGCGTGCACCCAACCACTAAGCCACATGGCCGGCCCCCGAGCAAAATTTTTAAATTGAAATTTTTAAAACTATAGGTTTTTTGGGAGGTGGGGGTGAGAAAACAAAGAGTTTTCAGAGAAAATACTCTTAAGGACTGAAAATTTTGAAATGATTTATGATCTTCACGTGTGTAATACCCCTTCAGTTTTATCAGATGGAATTTATAACACAAGTTTTATAATACAGTTATGAATACTAACACCAAAAGTCAGTAACTAGACAATAAAATCTGCTTAAAAAATGAGAAAAATACAATCTACCTTAGGTCTTTCTCTTTTTTCTATGATTTGTCCACTACTTTTCCACACAGTGAATTTAAACAGATATAGGGCAGTAGTTTAGTCTAAACTTTAACAACAAGATAAAAAACTAAGCATATCAAAAGAAGTTAATATTAGGTCTCTAAAAGCAACTTTTACGGGGCTGGCCCCGAGGCTTAGCGGTTAAGTGCGCACGCTCCCCTGCTGGCGGCCCGGGTTCGGATCCCGGGCACGCACCGACACAATGCTTATCCAGCCATGCCGAGGCCACGTCCCACATACAGCAACTAGAAGGCTGTGCAACTATGATATACAACTATCTACTGGGGCTTTGGGGGGAAAAATAAAAAAAAAAAAAAAAAAAAAAGAAATGTGTCTAAAAAAAAAGCAACTTTTACTAGGATAGCACTTTATCATGGAATTGCTGTAAATGAGTAGAAAATTAATAATTATCTGAGATAATGAATATAAGCAAAACTTGAAACAAAAATAAAACACAGCAAAAGTTATTTCCACTCCCTCTGAATAAAATACATATCCACATGAAAGAAACTTCACCATTGCAACACATTTTCCTTGTTGAAACTGAAGTCTTAAGCCCGTGTTTATAACAACATGGTTGCTATGGAAGTAGTTGATTCAACATTATGAACTCACAGCTGAATAAAGTAAGGTGTGGAACAGAAGTCTTATTTAAACAGTGGCAAGAACCATAAAACATTAAAAAGGCAAACTGAATGATGATGAGTCAGAGCACCATATGTTTTAATGTTAAGGGTCATACATTTTTTTTCCTCCATGCCTGACACAAATAGGATGTTTCTTTTTAATTTAGTCCTATTTTTGGAACCCTATAATCATCTCAATCATCCCTCAAGTATCCTAGGTTTTACTATCTGCTTCTGTCTACATAACGCAGTGTGTATTTCATTAAACTGATCCTGCTTAGAACAGAGTTTCTATAGTTCAGACCTTGCCAGACCATGCAGAAGTTATAGCACCAACAGAACACAAGTCAGGGTTTTGAAAAATTTCTGCATGTAATTGATTCTACTAAATATAGCAGTACTGACATTCATCATATAGCATCACTTCAGGCTTACTTAGGTTTTGTGTACAGGTTAAGATTCTTTATGAACTCTTCAAGCACAAAAGTTGTCAGAGAATGTTAACGAGCACCCAGATCCACTTCACACCCAGCAGCCCAGCCATCCCAGCAGTGTCATCACACCTCAAGTTTGTTTCTCAGCTTTTACGGGTCAGTTAAGAGTTTTCCAAGCAATCTTGAAAACCCTCAAGACACTTTATATAGAAATGGTGTGAATTATTTGAACTTAAACTTATGCTCCTATACTCTTCCTCTGCTTCCTTTTCCACTTTTTAATTGGAGAACGACCTGCTTTGCTTTCAACACACACACTTTACCAATCTTTTCCTCTGGTTTTCTGAATCTTTCAAATTATGACAAACATTTTGAAGCCAGAAATTTTACCCTTTGTAAAATAAAACATATTCAACAAGTTTTTAAAATGATGGTTATGTGTGGGGCTGTCAAAAACAAACAAAAAAAAGCCTTTCCTCCCTTAGGAGATGGTACAGTGAACCGGCTCTGTAAACAGAAATCCGGATCCCCTCCACAGCTGGCCGAGGGTGTGGCTGCCCTCTGCATGTGCACAGGAGATCAATTCATACCAGCAAAACCGGAAAAGTCACAACTGAGAGCAACTGTGGAAGCAGCGAGAGCCAAGAGCAAAATGTAAAGGAGTCTGACTTTCTGCTAGGTGAGTCACAGGAAATACTCCTGCCAGAGTCGGGAGGCCCAGCGCGCCCCTCTCCTTCAGTTAAGAATGTAGATCAGAGCTCCCTGGGCTTCGTGCTTGAGGGATCTGAGGGGAAAGGCTAGGGCCCAAGCCTAAGAGACAGAAGCCCAATTCCTAGGGAGCAGGGAGGCTGGCCACTGGCCTTGGCCTGCCCTCTAACTAAGCTTCCACTTCTGACAGACCACAGTGAACTCAATCATTCCAGAAGTGAACAAACTAGAGTGCTGGGCTGGCTCTCCTTTCTATTTTGGACTTGGGCCACTTCAGGTGTTCTTATCAGGGCTCACATGATGACAGGCCCTGGAACTGTGGCTCAAATTGGGTTTATACATAATGGACGGTCAGCTCACCCAGCTCTGTTGACACAGGGGACCCGGTGGCAATCTCACCAATCTTGGCAACTCCATCGTAGTAGGCTTTTCCCGCCAGGATCATAGCTAGACAGAGAAAGTGACACACAAAATCATCACTTAGACAAGGAAAGGAGGAAGCAACATAGAAGTTTTCTTCTGACATCCCTCAGCCCCTTCTGGCTGCAACAAGTGTGGCTCTCAGAGGGCAGAGCTTGTGCTTGGTAGCTGTGCCAGGGCAGAGGTCCCTCCGCTGCACTTCCAGAGGCCCCCACCCACTGGAGACCCCCCATGGGATCCTCACTTTGGACCAGCCCTGGGGAACCTTCAGCAGCAGGTGCTGGAAGTCCAGAGAAGGCCCTGCCTGCTCCTGATGCCAGTTCCAGAGTAGACGATGTGTTCCTAACATCAAATTAGGGCTGGAACACATCCACTCCAGCAAAAAATCTTTTCCAAGCTGGTTATTCTATAGCAATACAGGTCTGCAACATTCTTATTAGAAGGACTTGCGTGGGGTGGCCTAGGAACCTCGTCCTTCAATGGCATTTTTACCTTTTTTATTGAAAAAGACATTCTGAGACACAAACAACTAACATACTTGTTGCCAGGGGAAAAAATCTATGAAATTTGAAATACATTATCATTCCAAAAAACAATGGAATTATCTGAAAAATAATTGAATACTCTACTTTTTTCCCTTCCCTTTTTGGCAGAGACAGAAAAACTTGCATTGCTATACAAGTTGGATTCTAATTACCTTAAAAATCTTAGTTCTCCTTTCACATTGATTCTTATAAGGTACAGAAATGTGCTTTTGACTTGTTTTTCTTTTCCTTTTCTTTTTCCTTCTTTTTTTTTTTGTGAGGGGAGTCGGGGGCAAGACAAACCTGGGGTTGAATTCTACCTTTACTTCAAACGACATGACCGTCTTGGGCAAGTTAGTTATCTTTTCTGAAACAAAGGATGTTAATCTATAAAATGCTCTAATAGCGTGAGCACTGGATGAACAAATGGAAGCTGCTAATACCAATTCCTTCTCCCACTTTACAACAAGCTAGTTTCGAGGAGACTAAAGGTGTAAAACAAGCAAGATTTTCAACAAGACCTAGCCTTATTTAGTGTGATTTTGGAGAAAATTATTTATTTTATTTTACTCAAAGGCTGGCTTCATACACAGAAATCAGTTTCTCACATAGCCTTAGAGACCACAAGTTTTGGAACTAAAAGAGCCTTCATAAGAATCTCTTTGAGATTCCTTTCCTTTCTCTGAGAAGAAAACCAGAGGCCACACAAGCTGCTTTGCCCCAATTTATAATGGGTATTGTTTTAAAAAGGTATTTCAAGTTTAAAAACAGTGGTGGTGGTAGGGTGTCACAGAATGAATTAATGTACAAGTCCAGCTGAAGATTTGCAGGCCAAAAAAGTAGTATTTTCATGGCAAATTAATCTGTTTTGGCATTTCTTATAGAGCTAAAAAATTACAAAAGTTATGCCTTTTACTATATATGTATACAAGTTTAGGAAGTGTAATGTTCTACTATACTGTTATTTCATAAGACTGAGGATAACAAAGTAGAGTTAGAAAAAAGAACAATAACAAGTAGCATTTATGTTGACTTTCCAACTCATTACTTAAGTCAATCTACCCAACAACGTTAAGATATGGGTCGGTGATGTTATCACTCCATTTCATGAAGGGGAGTGGAGTGGAGATATCCTGAGACATGCCCAAGGTCAGTGGTGAATCAGCCAATGCATACAGCTCCAGCTAAGGTACCTCACTTCCTTAGTTCTAAATTATGTTGCTTTCTGACTCTTTGGTCTCAGCTAGAACTGAAAAAGAGATGACTCCAACCTAAAAACAAGGTTTATAGCCAGTAAACTGTCAAGTTAATATATGTAATGTTTTAGTATGAAGATTTTAAATTGCAAGGTACTGATAAGTGAATTAGCGGGAGAATGGTATACAGGATTACACAATATTTAAACAAAATTTTTGGTTTGCATCCACACATTAAATTGAAATTTTTCATTAACTGTTGACTTATGTTTAAAACTATTTAACTGTCTCAGTCTAGTATAATATCCTTGCTTTTATGAGAAAGGAATTAACTTTAAATAATCATATAATTTATCTAGAATAAAGAATAAAATAATATTTTCATAATTTTGTCCCCCTCTGTAAATACATTAGAGATATTCTGCCACTTGGTTTAAGGAATGAAGCATATTAGTTCTTCATTAGTTCTTAATGAAGTTCTTCAATAGTTCTTCTAAAGTTCTATTTTAGTGGTTGACCAACTACTTCATCAATCTAATCTATATACTTCTACCAGATAATTTTTCCTTAAAATATGATTTCATTAGGTTATGGATCTGCTCAACAACCTTCAATGGCCTCCCACTGCCTATAGAGTAAGCCCACACTCCAGAGTTCATGGTAGATTTTTATAGTAATGGCCTTCAAAGAATCACACCTCCCAGAATTCCCAGCCTGTGTAGTCTCCTAATACACTGATGGGTGGCTTGGTAATGGGACTTGCTTTGGCTAGTGGGGTATTGGCAAGCATAACTTCCATAGGGGCTTGCATTCTTGGAACAGCCTGCTATGCCTGAGGGAGGGAGTGAGCTCAGCACCCGGCCTAGTCCAGGCCCCAGCTGACTACAGCCGCAGGAGTGAGCCCCAGCGGTCCAGAGAACTGAACTACACTGTCTTTACAGGACCATGCGAAATAATAAACTATTGTCTTAAGCCACCAAGTTTAGGGGCAATTTGTTATGTGGCAACAGATTACTGATGCTGCATTCAAATGCGTTAATAATCTGACCCTATTCCATCTTATATTTTACTATTCCCCAACAGCTCTCACCCATGCCAGTGTGGACTCCAGGTCTTGGCTTGAATGCCGTCTTTTCTGCCTGAAGCACTTGTATGCAGCATTTGACTACTGAAACCTAACATCTATCAGCTAGCTCAGTTCCTACACCGCCTCCTGCCTACTCCATTCCACACTGACCTCCACTACTCAAATTCTGGTGACACTGCTCATCTCATGCTCTTCATTAGCTGTGCCTGTTGCCTTGAGTTATAACCTAACTGTTAACTGCACATCTGGCATCTCCGACTATACTACAGATTCTCACCAAAGACGTTACAGATTTATCAAAGTTTCTCAATGGCTTCAGCAAAAACCAGATGCCCCACAGAAATTCTGGAAATACATTGTGAAATGCAGAATAGTCTCCAGGAGGTGTTAAAGTGATAAGAGCCCTTGGGGAGAAGCTTTATTAGCAGGAGGCTAAGCTGCAGGCAGCTCACTGAGTCACCTTGTACAACTCTGCCTCAGAGAGGGAGCTTATGCTAGAAAGAAAAAAACCACTGCAGGTCATAGTGATTTCCTTCACAGGGACATATAAAGCAATGACTTGGTAGCCTTGTGACAAAGCAATCATCAAGGGAGAGTCAGCTGTGCAAGACTTCCAAAACAAGGTTCCAGCTCTTTGAAGGAGGGAGCGGGGCATGCACAGAAGTCACTGATACTGCTGGAGGGCAAGGGAGGAAAATCCCAGGCCTGCTCCATTTCCTGGTCTGGTCTACAGCACAGAGATCCAGAAAAAAGTAAATAAGCAGTTTACTTTTCTAGTGACTACAATAATAGAGCACCTGTCATCCAAAGTCCAAAGTCTAGCCAGCACATCCCCTTCCCTGGGGCAGGCTCATGCTGAGGGTGTGTGAGGCCACAGGTTTATTTTAAAAATATTAACAGGGAGCAGCCAAAGGTGGGGTATGGTGAAAGAGAAATAAGAGATACGTAAAAAACACAAAACTTGATCTGAAGCCTTCTTCAAATCTAAAACTGCTGGAAACTAAATTTTCTAATTACGTTACATGGTGGTCTTAGTGAACCAGGATAGAGGGTGAAACTGGGGTCTGAATATTTTGGGGGTGACACTTGCTACATAGGGAGAATTATTTTGACCATGCTAGAATTTGGTGATTGTTGGCATCTGAAGTTTTTAAGGCACTCATCAATAACATTCACCTTTTAGTAGGGAAATGCGTGTGTAGATGCGTGTCAGCTTCCTCAAATGTGTTAAAGAGAAAATCATAGGCCCAAAATGGCTTCACTTGTGCTAAAGCCCATGAAACCAAACCTAGATTTAATACCTAACCTAATTGCAGTTTTGACCTTCCCCAGAAATGTAATCTTCATCAACCAGTCTGGAATTTTCTGGTCAGTACCAATGAGGTAATCTGTCATGTGGGCCCTCTCGATCCTGCCCCCCTTGCCCAGAGGCAATCTGCATGACAAAACGTTCTCTTTCCCCCCAAAAGAGATGAAGTCCTGGCCCAACATAATCCTTTCTTTTCTTTTGCTAATAACTTCCTTGCCCCACCCTCCTTCCTATAAAAATTTTCCATTTAGTGTAATATCTCAGAATATCTTTCTACTTGCTAGATGGGAGGCTGATCAATTCATGAATCATTGAATAAAGGCCAATTAGATCTTCAAATTTACTTGGTTGAAATTTTGTTTTTAACAGATTTGGTGGCAGTGACTAGACCAAAGGAGACTTCCAGCCGCTTCAGGGACGAGAAACACAGGCATGGCAACCTGTGAATCCTTTTGAGTTCATTGTCTTTCTTGCCGTTTCCAGGGCTATTAGTAAGTTCCTCTCAGTTTGAGCTCCACTCTCTTTTTTTTTTCTGTTTTTGAGGAAGATTAGCCCTGAGCTAACATCTGTTGCCAATCCTCCTCTTTTCTGCTGAGGAAGATCGGCCCTGGGCTAACATCCGTGCCCATCTTCCTCTTCCTCTACTTTATATGGGATGCCGCCACAGCATGGCTTGACAAGTGGTATGTAGGTCTGCGCCAGGGATCAGAGCCTGCCAACTCCAGGCCGCCAAAGCAGAGCACACCAACTTAACCGTTATGCCACCAGGCCAGCCTGAGCCCCACTGTCTTTTTGCGTCAAGCTCCCAATCTAATTGGCTTTCAGACCACAATTCCCAGGTTTTTGAGTGGAAACCCCAGGCCTGATTCTGTCCTCAGTTTCCACGCTGGGAACTGCTGGTGACAGGTACA